TATAAATTTTTTATATTTATATTAATATAATATAAATATAAAAAATGTCATTAAATGTCAAGTAATATCAATTTCCATTTTTATGACGTTGAATATCTAACAATTAAATTACAATGCTATTAGTGTTTGTAAAATTTACAAAATTTAAAAAATTATATAATTATGCTAATTATTTAAATAACTAAACTTTATTTTGTTAAAAATAAGAGTAAAAGTTTAATTTTTTATTATACAATTGCCTCCATAAAATTTTTATATATTATAATTAACTCAATATATTTTGACATTAAATTTTTACTATTTTTGAGATGCGAAAACGCCAACACAATATAAAATGGATCTTTGTGCTTAATAATATTTCAAAATGTGAATCTTACAATTCTCGTTATAGTCAAACTGTACGCCGCATAATCGTCGGTCTTTAAAACGCAGCTTCAAAAACTGAATAGCACGTTTTAAAGATCGATGATTAGGCGGCGCGTAATTTATCTGAATTGACAATTGTAAGATTCACATTTTGAAATATTATTAAGCACCAAGATCCGCTTCGTATCGTGTTGGCGTTTTCGCGTCTTAATTGTTTGTAACACTTCACGGCCGAGTCTGACACTAGTTATATACACGCTGTTCTTCTTTAGTTTTATTCTGTGTTGGTGTTTTTGCATCTTAATTGTTTGATAAATGAAACTTGAATTACAGTGTGACATGTTTTTCAATTTTTCATAAAGCAAACGGTAGAATTCCGTGAGTTAAGTATGATTTAAAAAGACGTATTGCTCATTGACTATTGACTAAAGTCCATCAATAATCACTTGAATCGAACAATTAATCAAACAAGTTCGTTGTCAGTCTTTTTTTAATTAAGTTAATTTTCAGAGTCAATTAATTTCTTTTGTTTAAAATTGTTTTATTACATCTTATTTTTTCTAAGTATAGCTAAATATTGAATACTTGAATAGTTTGTTTTCGTAAATTTATTTTTGTTCACGCACAAGTAACGCAAGAAGGGATGAGTCACAATTTTATTATATTCACAATATATTTTACAATAATTTACAATAATTAGTTAATTATTTAACAACAATTAACTAATTATTTTACAATAATTAGTTCAAAAGTTATTAATTTTTACATTGTGAGTTTTTTTAGACTCCACGGACGCGATTTCTCGCTCTCGAAGCAAAATTGAGAGGATTTCTCGATGGACGTGAATATCAGGAAGCGATCGCGACTTTCTTGAATTGTTCGCGAGCGACGGATAATTTTTGGATTGCAAATTCGACTTTTAGTGCAACCGTTTAGAATTCTCGCATTAAACCTCACTTTTTTTGGAGCACAGACCGACACGGCCGCCTTCTCGAATTAGCACTTCGAATGAGCTCGTATCGCTCCCACCCTATCCCTTTTATACGGCGGTGATTCCAGATTATTCTAGGCCGTTTTAGAAGATCCTTTTTAGAAAGTGACGTAAAAAATAGAACAACCTGGAATCATAACTACTGTTACTGTAAAATTGTAAACTCTTCATTCTTTAAACAGAACAGAGTTTTTTTTACGCTGTTCTAATTTAATTGGCCGTCCCTGCTGCAAGTGTTTACTTATACAGGGTCCTTCAAAAGTATAGAAATGGTGAAATAATTCGTCAGGGATGTATTTTACAAAGAAAATGTTAAAGGGGAAATTGTTGGGCTTTAAAAGGCCTAATGATTAAGGCCCATTTCGACTCGGCAAGTTTCAAAACTTGCATGTGATAATATTTATGTGGATCCTATGAAAATCAAGTAAATTTTTTTAAATGGCAATACCAGTTTTTTGTGGCTGATTTGTGTTTCTAACGATCTTTTCTTTTCAAATATATAACTTAAGTTGATTCAGGTACCTTTGGGCTTCTCTAGATTCTAATTTTTCAAAGGCATGGGAGACGGTCGAATAACTTAATTGTGAGTAATGCATTTTAGAAAGAAAATGGCCTTAACTATATATAATCATTGGTACCATCTGAAAGTACGAACTTTGCTCTTTTAAATTAAAAAATACTTTTTCCTGTACCGATTATTTAGCAAGATATTATAATTTCAAGTACATTCTGCTTTTTACGATTTTAGCACGGTATATGGTACTATTATAAAATCTCGAAATTCGTGCGGTCTTCCATCGCCTAACAAAAAAAATTGGCGAAAATAATTATTGATACCATATAAATCTATACATGTATAATATACATTTTTGTAAAATCAACGTCAATCAACATCAATTTAAAATATATGTACATACTGTTGTAACCGGAAGTTACAACTATTACATTACATTCAATTTATCCTTAACTATCGCCTGACAGGGTAACGACCGCACTTTACGTGGGTAACTCGGAAGGCTCCGAAAATGCAACCTTATACCGAAATATCGGATAACCGTGCGAATCTTCCGCTATTGCGGCGAATTGCTGAAATAAAGAAATTGCTAAATGCGATCGAGGGGCATCGACCGCATTTGGCAATACGCGGAAGCAACTCGATTAGCAGGCCAAGAACCGACGTCAGCTAATCGACACTTCACTTAACACGCTGCAATCGACGAAGCGGCGGAATTCAGTTTTGATCTGCAACGGACGCTATACTGTCAGTTCACGATTGTAGATTGTAGCTCACGAAGAAGAAATAAAGCATTGTGAAAACTTACAGTTTAGTGTTTGACAGACCAATCTCGGAGAGTCTCCCTCGTAACACCTACCGCGTGTTACAACAATATACGTCTGTCGTGTACACACACAATGTGCACGTAGATGCGAATGTAAAAGCGCGTATTAAGTTTTTATACATTTTAGTTTTTTTATTTTATAACGTTCATAAAATACACATAAAAATTTGCTTAAACAAAAATAAATACTCAAATAAAATATTGAAACGAATAATTTGTCTGCTCTCTAAATTTTTTGGAGTGAAATTTCACTCTAAGGAGTGAAAATATATACTGCCTCTCAAATGGCCGAGTGACAGTATTTTCGCTCCTTTGGAGTGAGATTTCACTCTTTTGGAGTGAGATTTACTCCAGAAAATTTAGAGAGTGCTTTTTACCTTATTGTATCTTATAGATTTTATCATAGATGTTTCCTAAAGTCTGTCATATTCCAAGTAGTGAATTCTCATAATTTATATATACCAAGTTTTAAGACTTATTATATATTGGCAACATTTATATTACGAACATATATTGTCAATAATTTAACTAATTTGTACCACAAATTTTCAAAATAGGAAATGAGAACTATTGTATGTTTCTATAATTTACGTTGTCTATCATGTTTTCTGCATGTTTTATATTAATGTATTAATGCACCCACGCACGTCTGTTTCATATTAAACTATTAATGTACTCACTAATATGTACAATTAAAACACATTAAACTGTCTGTCAAAAACTGGAAAAATACAAGATACTTTCAACAATAAGTTATTCAATCTCTGCCGTGTTCTGATTTGAAAGTCTAAAAAACGTTAACTGTTAGATACGGCGGCTAAATTGAAACTGTTAGCATCGAATGCGCACCACTCAAACAAGTGTATTATGCAAAAACGTCAGAGTAATATAATCGGTCATTATATAAGTCGTTAAAGTTGTGTAGAACTTCACTAGATATACTTCACTCAATCGATTTATCTAGGAAGCTACATTAAACCTAATTGTGATGACTAATCAACTCACAGTTATTGAATCATCATAAACAATTGCTTAGATCAAACAAAAACTTTTTACTTATTTATTCTTACCTAGTGTTTCATTGTTTTTGAAAACAGGGAATAAACATGTTTACATGTTTTTTTTATTTTAGACATTGTCCATTCTTTTTCATGCCTGTTTCACATTAAATGTATTCACCAATACGTTCGTTTAACGCCTTAATAAACCAGCAAAAATTAGAAAAATGCATCCTCATCAGCAATAAGTTATTTGGGCTAATATACCGTTGGGGGAATTTATTTAATATTATTATTGTTTTACTCAATCACATTTACTGTTAGTTGATATGTTATCAATTTAAAAAAAAACTCGGCAAGAATAGTGTTACCATGATGAGCAACGATACTATTTTATCATATCTGTTCGAAAGAAATAATTTATAGCACTTTCTTATTAGTAATTCGATTAATTTTTCTATTAAGATAGAGGGAGAAAGAAAGAAAAAGAGAAATAAAGAGAGAGAGAGAGGGAAAAGAGATATGGGTTTTTGATATGTACCATAAGTAGATAAATGTTTTTAACAACAGATCGGAAGAGCACACG